AATGAATGAACTTCAGCAATGTAGAACTCTGATACTGTGCTTCACAGATATACTCGCAGCTTTCAAGAGCACTCAGTCTCCTAGTTTTAAATCCTGCCTGCTAAGACATTGATCACATTGTCATTTATTCCTCATAATACTTTTCTCAGCAGTGTTTAATATAGCCCAAACTTTCACATAGTCTCTGTTCTGTCTGTAGTTCCATCAGGTATTACTGAAACCAGAGGTCTACCAGCAGTCTGGCTTCCCTCCCAAATATAAGGAAACAAGGTGAATATCCTGTTGCATGTACTAAAACAGCCAACATATTTCCTCCATTGTCTCATCTGCTTGGGATCCAACACGTCTAGCAGCGTTCTGCGGTAACTTTCTGGCTGAGGATGGCAAAGGGTGATATGAGATTTAATCGCCCTCTTAAGCTGCAACCAAGGGACGTGGGTGGCGCTGTGAGTTAAACCACAGAGCCTAGGACTTGCCGATCAGAAGGTCGGCGGTTCGAATCCCCGCGACGGAGTGAGCTCCCGTTGCTCAATCCCTGCTCCTGCCAACCTAGCAGTTCGAAAGCATGAAGTGCAAGTAGATAAATAGGTACCGCTCCGGCGGGAAGGTAAACGGCGTTTCCGTGCGCTGCTCTGGTTCACCAGAAGCGGCTTAGTCATGCTGGCCACATGACCCGGAAGCTGTATGCCGGCTCCCTCGGCCAATAAAGCGAGATGAGTGACACAACCCCAGAGTCGTCCGCGACTGGACCTAATGGTCGGGGGTCCCTTTACATTTAAGCCGCAACATTTCTGGAATGAGGTGACTTTCAAAGCCCCTACCTGGATCAGAGAAAAAACTGGCAGGTAATCCATAATAATGAACAAAATATATTCACCACAGTATTTTACCAACAGGTCCTAGACTTCCGATTTTTTGTGCGAAAAGCCTGGGCGCAGCAGGTCACGTGATCTGTTCCTACCAGAATCTTGCCCAGTTCCAAAGACCTTCCACCTGCCTTGCTGCACCCTCATCTCTGCTTCTCAATTTGTATTGCACTATTTTATGCACTGTGACTTGATGTTGTTTTATTGATTATTGTTGTCTAGTCGTTTAGTCGTGTCCGACTCTTCGTGACCCCATGGACCCGAGCACGCCAGGCACCTCTGTCCTCCACTGCCTCCCGCAATTTAGTCAAACTCATGTTCATAGCTTCGAGAACACTGTCCAACCATCTCGTCCTCTGTCGTCCCCTTCTCCTTGTGCCCTCCATGTTTCCCAACATCAGGGTCTTTTCCAGGGAGTCTTCTCTTCTCATGAGGTAGCCAAAGTATCGGAGTCTCAGCTTCACAATCTGTCCTTCCAGTGACATTGATTATAGTTTAGAAATTATTTATTATAACTGTTAAGAGTGGATTCCTGTTTAATTTTTATATGCTGATATATACCGTATTTTTTGCTCTATAAGACTCACTTTTTCCCTCCTAAAAAGTAAGGGGAAATGTGTGTGCATCTTATGGAGCGAATGCAGGCTGCGCAGCTATCCCAGAAGCCAGAACAGCAAGAGGGATTGCTGCTTTCACTGAGCAGCGATCCCTCTTGCTGTTCTGGCTTCTGAGATTCAGAAATTTTTTTCTTCTTGTTTTCCTCCTCCAAAAACTATGTGCGTCTTGTGGGCTGGTGCGTCTTATAGAGTGAAAAATACGGTGATATTATTCTATACTGTTCTAATGGACGTGGGTGGCAGAGCCTAGGACCTGCCAATCAGAAGGTCGGCGGTTCAAATCCCCATGATGGAGTGAGCTCCCATTGCTCGGTCCCTGCTCCTGCTAACCTGCACGTCAAAGTGCAAGTAGATAAATAGGTATCACTCCAGCGGGAAGGTAAACGGCGTTTCCATGCGCTGCTCTGATTCGCCAAAAGCGGCTTAGTCAGGCTGGCCACATGAACTGTACGCCGGCTCCCTCGGCCAATAAAGCGAGATGAGCGCCGCAACCCCAGAGTCGTCCGCGACTGGACCTAATGGTCAGGGGTCCCTTTACTGTTCTAATGGATTGTTGAATATTGCTTATTTGATATAAGCTGCTTATTTTAAAGTTATGCTTTATTATCACATTTTTGTATTGGATTAGATTGTTATAAGGTGTACATTCTTTGATTCTTCAGCTTGCAAACCGCCTTGTAAAATAGAAAGGCAGAACAGTGGTACCTCTGGTTACGAACTTAATTCGTTCCGGAGGTCCGTACTTAAGCTGAAACCGTTCTCATCCTGAGACGTGCTTTCGCTAATGGGGTCTGCCTCTGGTGCACGATTTCCATTCGCATTCTGGGGCAAAGTTTGCCACCAGGAGCAGCTACTTCCGGGTTAACGGAGCTCATAACCCGAAACGTGCGTACAAATCAAAAGTGAAATAAAAATGAAATGAAAAGGCAGACGTATCCAATGACTCTATCTTGGAAGCACGGCTGCTTCATGGGATATAGTTTTGCCCTGAGCGCATCTCCCAGAGCTCCTCACAATCAAAGCCACATGATGAGCCAGCCTTTGGCGGGGTAAAACTATGTTCTCAGAAGCTCAGTGGTTCTTTTGACACCAGTGACATCGTGAAGGCTGTACGTTATGGAGTGTGAGGCACAGCTCACGTTGACACCAGTTCAGCAAAATTCCCTGTGCTATTGTCCTTGGGGCGTGTGTGAGAATGACCGGTGTAACTGGACACTAGCCCCCATCCTATTTATGTTTCCAATTTATGTCACCCTTTCTTCTCTGGGGCTTGGGTTATGGTTTTTTTCCACACCTTTCATGCCTCTTCACTGTCAAAATCCAGACGTGAATATTCTTCTCTCTGAATGGTTGTTATTGAAGATTATTCTGCAGGGGTCAGCAAACTTTTTCAGCAGGGGGCCGGTCCACTGTCCCTTGCGGGGGGCCGGAATATATTTTTTTGGGAGGGAAATGAACAAATTCCTATGCCCCACCAAATAACCCAGAGATGCATTTTAAATAAAAGGACACATTCTACTCATGTAAAAACACCAGGCAGGCCCCACAAATAACCCAGAGATGCATTTTAAATAAAAGGACACATTTTATGTAAAAACACACTGATTCCCATCTGCGGGCCGGATTTAGAAGGCGATTGGGCCGGATCCGGCCCCCGGGCCTTAGTTTGCCTACCCATGTTATTCTGCTTATGTTGCAAGTCCTCTCCAACAGGTAAGCTAGGGAAATAGAGAGCTAAGCCACTGTGAATTGTAAACGGCACAAGGTTCTAGGAAGCAACTGTTCCATGAGTCTGCAAAGAACACAATTAACTTTGGAATCATTTGCTGCGTTATTTAATGCTGGTGGGTTTTGATATAAGTTTGTTTAACATTACAGAGCTTGGTTAACGTACACCTGCACGTCACAGCAAAGAAACATAATATATCCAGCAACATTCTCAAGCGAGAAAGGTTGTAAAACCATTTAAAACTGCATGTGATATACAACACCAGCACTCCGGGGCTCGGTCTGTTTTTAAATTCCCTGAACTACCGTTGATTCTAAAGCATCCTAAAATAAACACACAGAGCTAAATATAGAGGACTGGCCCCGTTCAGTAGGTACCCTGATGGACACGGCCATAGCATGGGCAACAAACCCTGCTGGCCTGGCATAGCTTGATACATCAAAAAATAATAAAATATAAAATCAAATCTCTTCTGCTAGTGCTGCTTATTCCCGCTCTCCTTAAACAAGCCGTTTGGGGTTGATTTGTGCTTTAAATAAGTTCAGAACTATAATGCGCTTTTAGTATTAGGGCTGAGTCCCAGAATGAACTAAATTAAAAACTGCATCTGAGCATACACAGAGTGTTTTTCTCCTTTTCATTAAGTGAACATAGACCGCCTCAAAGATCAAGCAGCCAGACATTTTAGCATACAAAATGAGCCCTGGAATATGTATATTTTTAAGAAGAAGAAGTGAAGCAATGATCATATATATTAAGAAAGAAGATGTAAACTCCGGCCAACCACACTTTTCCATTCTGCACAGCTCTGCCAGCCCGTCTACAAGTTCTCAAGTCGATGCAAATAACCTCTTTCATCCAGAGACTTCACAACCGCTGCTTTTTTTCCCTGGTCCTTCCCACAAACTCCTCAGTGCTGCTGCTGACACCACAAGCAGAAATGGATCAAGTGAAACTGCACCTGCTGAATTTCCGCCTGCCAGGTACCATAGATGCTCAGGAACCCCTTGCAAGGAGCGGGGAGTTAGGACTAAAAGGTACTCCCGCTAGTACAGTGGCAAGCAGTGCTTTTTTCTGGGAGGAGACGCATACCCCTAAACCTTTTGCGAATCTAAGTTTGGCCTCGTTGAGGGGCAGTATTTCAAAATGAGTAGGAAAACGAGAGTACCCCTAAACATTTTTTAAAGAAATAAAGCGCTGGTGGTATCGCTGCCTGTCACACACCAGACCAGGGTCTGATTCCCAGACAGGGAGACTGATATTATATAGCCCAACCGGTAGAGCATCAGCCTCTTCCTTTCTCCTGTGATGAGGCTGCATTTGAATATTTCAATATTTTAATGTTGTATTTTAATCTTGTTTTTAAATTGTATTCATTCAACTTGTTTTTATTATTGCTTGTTAGCCGGCCTGAGCCTGGCCTTGGCTGGGGAGAGCGGGGTATAAATAGAAATATTATTATTATTATTATTAATCTCAGGGTCCTGGGTTCGAGAACCACCTCGGGCAAAATATTACAGGGTTGGGCTAGATGGCCCTCATGGTCCCACCAACAATTCTGTGGCCCCTCCATGAAAAAGGAAGGCAAGGAATGGAGCTGCCCTGGTCCCTTTTTCTTCCCAGGTGCAGCTAGCAGTTTGGCAACACAGGCAGAAACTTTGCGGCTGCACCTGTTGGACGTCTGCCTGCCGCGGAGCTCTTAAAGGGCCGGGAAGAGAGGAGAGGGACCACGCTGGGAAAGACCTCCCGCCAGCCCCACCGCGGACCCCGAGAGCCCCCCATCCTCACCCAGCAGCAGCAGCAGCAGCGGGCGCCGGCTCCATGGCAGAGCGCAGTCCCGGGCGCGCACGGCTCCGCACCTCGCCGCGCGCCCGGGCGCCCAGCGCCGAAGGAGGCGCCGGAGATGCCCGGGGCGCTGCCTCCGCCTGGCCGGGGGAGGAGCCGCGTCCTTCCCTTCGCGGAGACGGGCGGGCGGTGGGAAGGCGCAGTGGGTGGAGCAGAGGAAGGGCGGGTCCTGCCCCACCTGGGGGAACCAGGGGGGGTTCCGGGCACAGGCTGGATGCAAAGAGAGTTGCCGGTGGTTGTCAGGGTTGTTGCATATATATATATTCAATGCTTTTGTCGTTGCATATATATATATATAAAGTTGTTGTAATTTTGCATTGAATACACACACACACACACACTATATATATATATATATATATATATATATATATATATATATAGTGTGTGTGTGTGTGTGTATTCAATGCAAAATTACAACAACTTTATATATATATATATGCAACGACAAAAGCATTGAATATATATATTCAATGCAAAATTACAACAAATTTATATACAACAAATATATATATTCAATGCAAAATTACAACAAATATATATATATATATATATATATATATATATATATATGCAACAACACAAGCATTGAATATATATATTCAATGCAAAATTACAACAAATTTATATACAACAAATATATATATTCAATGCAAAATTACAACAAATATATATATATATATATATATATGCAACAACACAAGCATTGAATATATATATTCAATGCAAAATTACAACAAATTTATATACAACATATATATACATATATATGCAATAAGAAAAACATTGGATATATATATATTCAATGGAAAATTACAACAAATTTTTTTTAAATAGTTTTTTATTAAAAAATTGAAACAAAACATATTATCTTAAAACATATCATCCTTAATTCACACCCCCCATTTTCCCCCTCCGTCCCATGCAAGGGATTTCCACATGGTGGGGTTAATGTTCATGTCACATTAACAAAGATCTTTGTAACGCGTTGTGGGTCTGCCATCTAGTCCCCCCCCCCCTGCAAAACTGCATTGGTCCATCTAGGAAAGCCACTACGGTTCTTACTTGCATACTTGCTCTGTTGTATTATTTGGGGAGCCAAGATTTTCCCTCAGGAGAGTGTAGGGTACAGATTTAGCAGGCTGTCTCCTAATCCTACCCCACAACACATCTTAGAACAGCCCAGTTTTTCCTTTTGTTGGTTTAGGACAGGTACACTGGTTTAAAGAGTTATGCCACCTGAATTGCATCATTACTTCCTTAGGTAAAGGTAAAGGGACCCCTGACCATTAGGTCCAGTCGTGACCGACTCTGGGGTTGCGGCGCTCATCTTGCTTTATTGGCCGAGGGAGCCGGCGTACAGCTTCTGGGTCATGTGGCCAGCATGACTAAGCCGCTTCTGGCGAACCAGAGCAGTGCACAGAAATGCCGTTTACCTTCCTGCCGGAGCGGTACCTATTTATCTACTTGCACTTAGATGTGATTTCGAACTGCTAGGTTGGCAGGAGCAGGGACCGAACAATGGGAACTCACCCTGTCGCGGGGATTCGAACCGCCGACCTTCTGATCGGCAAGCTCTAGGCTCTGTGGTTTAACCCACAGCGCCACACACATCCCTAACAATTCCATTACAATTTGCCAAACTGCAAAGCCTGACTTTCGCTCCATTGCTTTTCACTGCCAACGATCAAGAGGGACCATCTAGGAAAGCCACTTCTGTTCTTACTTATGTACTTGCTCTGCTGTATTATTTGGGGAGCCAAGATTTTCCCTCAGGAGAGTGTAAAAAGGTAAAGGTACCCCTGCCTGTACGGGCCAGTCTTGACAGACTCTAGGGTTGTGCGCCCATCTCACTTAAGAGGCCGAGGGCCAGCGCTGTCCGGAGACACTTCCGGGTCACGTGGCCAGCGTGACAAAGCTGCATCTGGCGAGCCAGCGCAGCACACGGAAATGCCGTTTACCTTCCGGCCAGTAAGCGGTCCCTATTTATCTACTTGCATCCGGGGGTGCTTTCGAACTGCTAGGTTGGCAGGCGCTGGGACCGAGCAACGGGAGCGCACCCCGCCGCGGGGATTCGAACCGCCAACCTTTCGATCGGCAAGCCCTAGGCGCTGAGGCTTTTACCCACAGCGCCACCCGCGTCCCTAAGGAGAGTGTAGGGTACAGATTTAGCAGGCTATCTCCTAATCCTACCCCACAACACATCTTAGAACAGCCCAGTTTTTCCTTTTGTTGGATTAGGACAGGTAAAAAGGTAAAGGGACCCCTGACCATTAGGTCCAGTCGTGGCCGACTCTGGAGTTGCAGTGCTCATCTTGCTTTATTGGCCAAGGGAGCCGGCGTACACTGGTTTAAAGTTATGCCACCTGAATTGCATCGTTACTTCCTTACACCATGGTAAAAAGGTAAAGGACCCCTGACAGTTCAGTCCAGTCGCAAACGACTCTTGCTTTACTGGCTGAGGGAGCCAACATTTGTCCGCAGACAGTTTTTCCGGGTCATGTGGCCAGCATGACTAAGCCGCTTCTGGCGAAACCAGAGCAGCGCACGGAAACACCGTTTACCTTCCCACCGGAGTGGTACCTATTTATCTACCTTAGAGTTATTCCAAAGTAGGTATAGTAGGAATCCCGACCTTATCAAGCAACCTTAGCTCACGAACAGGATTGTATTGTAAGCCTCTGCACCACAGATACTACTTGCTAGAATACGCCAGCTTCCTTAAAAGTGAGTTGGAAGGAAAGAAGAGATTAAGCTCTGGCATTTCTTTCGGCTGTGAAAACCTGTTCTTAACCATCAGTATTTCCTAACAAGAGAAGCAACCAGAATGCAGTTACACCATTGTGTATATTGAAGAAGCAGGACAGGATTTTCAGCATCAGACCCGTTCTCCTCCCACTGTGAAATGAAATATCCAGTTACTACAGCAAGAGTAGGATGAGTGAAAATATTTTAATCCCTCGTACCTGTAAAGGTTAAGCACTCTGAGCAAACCTTTGGAGTGAAGACATTCCAGTGCCAAAATGTGCTTCTCCACTCTCAGAAGACATTTTCCTCACGCATTAATTTGTGGCAAAACCTGTGTTTGCTATGAAACTTTGCTCAGTTGGGAGCCATGCCTAATCCTGGTTCCCTAAATAGTGAACGTGTGTGATATACAGTGGTACCTCGGGTTAAGAACTTAATTTGTTCTGGAGGTCCATTCTTAACCTGAAACTGTACTTAATGTGAAGCACCACTTTAGCTAATGGGGCCTCGCCGTGCCGCCGGAGCACAATTTCTGTTCTCATCCTGAAGCAAAGTTCTTAACCTGAAGCACTATTTCTGGGTTAGCGGAGTCTGTAACCTGAAGCGTATGTAACCTGAAGCGTATGTAACCCGAGGTACCACTGTACAGTATACATTGAAAAACACACAAATTAGTTCTCATGCGTTTTCCATACATTACACAGTTTCAAGTGCACACTTTAAAATACCCAGGTTTACAGCGAAAACAATGTGTGAATCACAGTCACTTTTTCAAATTGCTTGGTGTCAACACACAAGCTAGGCTGAATCCGTTTCATTAGCGTTGAGGCTAGCATCCATAGCAATTAATATCCAAGAAGGGTGTAAAAGCATACCTTCCAACATTTCTTATTTATACCCTGCCCATCTGCCTAGGTTGCCCCAGTCACTCTGGGCAGCTTCGAACATATACTGTATAAAAACATAATAAAACATTAAACATTATAAAACTCCACTATAGAGGGCTGGCTTCAGATGTCTTCTAAAGGTTGTATACAGTGGTACCTCGGGTTACATACGCTTCAGGTTACATACGCTTCAGGTTACAGACTCCGCTAACCCAGAAATAGTACCTCAGGTTAAGAACTTTGCTTCAGGATGAGAACAGAAATCGTGCTCCGGCGGCGCAGCAACAGCAGGAGGCCCCATTAGCTAAAGTGGTGCTTCAGGTTAAGAACAGTTTCAGGTTAAGAACAGACCTCCGGAACAAATTAAGTACAGTGGTGCCCCGCAAGACGAATGCCTCGCAAGACGAAAAACTCGCTAGACGAAAGGGTTTTCCGTTTTTTGAGTCATTCCGCAAGACGAATTTCGCTATGGGCTTGCTTCGCAAGATGAAACGTCTTGCGAGTTCTTGCAAGTTTGTTTCCTTTTTCTTAAAGCCGCTAAGCCGCTAATAGCCGCTAAGCCTAAGCCGCTAATAGCCGTGCTTCGCAAGACGAAAAAACCGCAAGACGAAGAGACTCGCGGAACGGATTAATTTTGTCTTGCGAGGCACCACTGTACTTAACCCGAGGTACCACTGTAGTTACTTATCTCCATACCCTCCAACACTTCATGTGATCAGACTAAAGCTATATGGAAGGAAAGAGGGAGACTTTTTTTAAAAAGCAAAAATGCTATTTCATGGGGGGGGGGTAAAGGACCCCTGACAGTTAAGTCCAGTCGTGAACGACTCTGGGGTTGCGGAGCTCATCTCGCTTTACAGGCCGAGGGAGCCGGCGTTTGTCCGCAGACAGTTTTTCCAGGTCATGTGGCCAGCATGACTAAGCCGCTTCTGGTGAACTAGAGCAGTGCACAGAAACGCCGTTTACCTTCCCACCGGAGCGGTACCTATTTATCTACTTGCACTTTTGACGTGCTTTCAAACTGCTAGGTTGGCAGGAGCTGGGACCGAGCAACAGGTGCTCACCCCATCGTGGGGATTCGAATTGCCAACCTTCCAATTGGCAAGCCCAAGGCTCAGTGGTTTACACCACAGCACCACTCACGTCCCCAAAAAGCGATACGGAAGAAAAGAGGGAGACTTTTTCAAAAAAGCAAAAATGCTATTTCACAGGAAAGCCTTGCCCAGTTAATTATTTTCTTTCCCAAAAAGTGCAAGGGGGGTGGTTCAGGTGTGAGAATGACAGCTATTTCATTGAAAGGAGTTCCCCCGCCTCGCCACTTTTAATTAATTCGGATAGCCAGAAGATGCCTGCTTTTCTGAACTTCAACTTTGTTGTGAATGGGGCGTGTGTGACGTTTGGGTGCTTGAAGCAGCACCATTAAGAACTTGAAGTGTGAGAAAGCCCCACCCCACACGCCTACTGCCGTTTTTCCACTACACTTGCAATCACGTCATGAGGTGTGGCACCCTAAAGTAAATGCAGCTGACTCTGTGAAAGCACGCTACCCGAAAAAATGTGCCACAGCTGTCAGAATTATTACATCCCGTGGATGCGAGGCAAAATCTGTACTAATAATTACGAGAGGCAGGGCCACACCGCTGGCACGAACTAGGCGCTGCAAACTGGCATTTTTAAAAACAGCAACCAGAATGCCCTTGAGGATTTAGAATTGAGTGCTTATCAGCCAACTGCATTATTCATCCTTCAAACCAGCCCCCCCCCTAATTAACTGCATTATGCAAAAGGGCGATGAGCTGGAAACTAGAAATACATTCCCAAATAACCCCTTGGGAGCAGACCAAGGCCATTGGCTTGCTTTAGGTTTCCCATTTCCCTGAATTTCCGGAGCAGGTTTAGAGCGTCAGTTTCTTGGTGAGGAGAAATGTACTGGTGGTGATTCATTCGGGTTTTCTTTTCAGCAACAGCTATTTATTTATAAGTATATAGGTAAAGCAGATGGGAAACAGGTTGTGCTAGTTTGAAAGCAGCCTCGGCGATGTGCACGCTATAGCTTTAAAGCTCATTTGAAACGCATTCTTATTTCCCAGAGAATTCTGGGCACTGTAGTTTACCCTTCACAGAGTTACAATTTCCCAGCAACACTGAATAAACTACAGTTCCCAGAATTCTTTGAGGGAAAGAACATGCTTTTAAAGGTATAGGGTGAGTGTCAGGAATTCAGCCTACACTCGAGTAGGACCCTGGCAGAGACACATGCCCGACTGGCATGTTCTCTCCCTCCTGGTCAATCATTTGGGGGCTTCAAAAGCTTTCTTCAGCCCGAACATCACAGCGACCGATGCCAACCGACACCGGCACACTTAGGGATCCGCAGAGTCTGCGCATTTTGCATGACAGACCTCAGCAACTCAGCATTTTGGCTAATCTACTTTATTTACACATAAACACACACGGAGCACTGCAACATGGCTTCCTCTCTCTCTAGCATCAGAAAGCAAAGAGAAAAAGAATCCGAGAGCAAGGAGAAGAGTCGGTGGAAGAAGATTGGAAGAAATTTAAAGACTATTTACAGAAATATTGCAAAGTTAATGAATGTTAGAATGATGTTGGATTGAACTTAATTGGTTTTAGTTGAAATGTTATTAAGAATTAAGTAAGAATAGATTGGCTATAGGTAAAGGTGTAAAATTTAAAAGTTAAATTGCGTTAAGATGAATTATGGAATTAATTTCGAGAAAGAGGGAAAGGACTTGCTGAAACAACTAATTGAACTAGAACACAAGAAGGGAGGTGTGAGGAAGTCAAGGAAATAAGCAAATGAAAGATAAGGATATGATAATAGGGGTTTTTTCTTTTTCTTTTTAAAATATTTTTGTTTGAAAAATGTTTTTCTTTTTTATTTTTTCTTTTGTATTGTAATCTTTTTATTGTTTGTATTTCTTTTTCTTGTATTTGTTAAATTTGAATAAATATTTATATAAAAAAAAACAGAAAGCAAAGAGAAAAAGAACACAGGACAATAGTCCCACTTCACGGAACACAGTAACACAAACATCCTGTCTCCGTCTCTTCCCACTCTGTGGAGTCAAAACATACACCGTCATGTGATAGACAACAATCCCATGACTGCAATCACGGAGCAGGAATTCTAACAGTGAGTAGACAGCCTCAGTCTCCCCCCAAAAAACAACAAACCCTTGCAACAACCTCAAGCTATTTCCTGCCAGCTTCTTGTTAGCTTGAAAACTCAATCTGTTTCTCTAATTGCCTCTTTTTGCCTCCTCGTCGGCCCTCACACACTTGGGTAGGTGTAACTTACATTCCAGACATTTAAAAGAACTGAAAATTATCGTAATGAACCATTATCTCAATGAACCATCAGTGGTTAGTGCAGTTTATCAAGTCACATCCTATGTTTGTTTATTCAGAAGTAAGATGTTTTGCACTGTTCTGTTTTTTTTCAGCTCCTAGCAAGCATTTCTGGGCAGATGACCTGTTTATTGCATTTCCATCCTGATTTGTTGGCAAGGAGATTAGACTACGTTGGCCACCAACTCAGCATCTGTTTGCGGGGAGGTTAGATGTTGTTGCATCAAAGCAAGTGTTATCTCCACACTTTCCTCTGCGCTTCCCATGGTGTACGAAATCCGGACTCTGGAGGAAGTGGGTTTGTCACACAATACTACAATCATCTATAATTGCACACCCTCATTTTGTTGGTATGTGATTGAATGCCACTTGAAAATAGTCACAATCTGAAAGCACCCGCTATGGACAAGCCTTGTTAATTCGGGGCATTGACACCAGCGGGGAAGGATGAGTGAAGAGCGGCGAATGACTGCTTATCCGCACCATCTCAAAAACCACCTTGCAACTTGCGTTTTCCTGTGTTTTTGTGGTATGAACCACATGGCATTTCCACTGTCCTGTTGACATCTTGGTCTTCCTGGAGCCCAAACCTGTTTTTCACCTGACCGTAGTGCAGAAAGTTTTCCTAAAAGGATCACATTGCCTCGTGCCATGAGATACGAGTTTTGCATACCACGGTTTGGGGGTTACATCAGGTTTCCCAAAATTCAGCGCCTACCTCATCTGTGCCCACAATCATGTCACACTGTGTTTCCCACTTCTCTCTGGCTCCAGATGCTGCACATGAATAACAATTTACAGATATTCTGGCATATCTCCCATCTAAATATGTTGCGGGTGTTATGTACTGAAGTTCTCACCCTGGGCCAGCAGGGGGATACTGTTTTCACTCAGGTCCACATATGCAAATAAGGGATTGAAAGTGACGTTCAGTGATTGGATAGTTACAGAAAGTGGCTACAGTTGCGTTGTAGTGGAGCTCTATATAAGCAGGCTGGCTGAACCCTTCAGTTCAGTTCTGTTCTGGCCTGTGAATAAACAAGAGCTGTTTGAAGAATCGCTGTGTCGTCTGATATTTTCACCCACAACTTAACAGCGGGCATAGCCTGGAACAGGGGTAGGCAACCTAAGGCCCGTGGGCCGGATGTGGCCCAATCGCCTTCTAAATCCAGCCCACAGACAGTCCGGGAATCAGCATGTTTTTACATGAGTAGAATGTGTCCTTTTATTTAAAATGCATCTCTGGGTTATTTGTGGGGCATAGGAATTTGTTCATATTTTTTTTCCAAAATTGTCTGAGGGACGGTGGACTGGCCCACGGCTGAAAAAGGTTGCTGACCCCTGGCATGGAATTTCAAAGCTGTAAATGCCTTCCTTGTTGAAGGAACCGATCATTCAAAAGAGCAATGTGGATTTGCGAGATCAGTGCTGAAGAGCCCTGAGATTGATCAGATACACTGTGACCCTAATGGAAGGTTTCTCCCACTATCTTTTCCCACTAAATCTGAGAATTTTACGCATGGAAATGGCTGCAGTAGACAATGTTTTATTTAAACATAATAACTGCGTTGTTAAACTCACATGATGCAGACATCTTTCATTTGTGGCGCTATCATGTTTTCCCCAGTATTTTATTATTATGGCAATTACTACAGGTGAAACTTGAAAAATTAGAATATCGTGGAAAAGTTCATTTATTTCAGTAATTCAACTTAAAAGGTGAAACTAATATATGAGATAGACTCATGACATGCAAAGCGAGATAGGTCAAGCCTTTATTTGTTATAATTGTGATGATTATGGCTTTTCATGACATTTCTGTTGGTCTTTAGAAATACATTATTCACGAAAGAAGAATGGAAAGCTAAACCTATGGAGTACGCAGAAATGGCGAAACTTACGGGAAGACTTAGAGACAATGGCAATAGAGACTTTAAAAAAAGATTGGGAACCGTTTATGCTGTATTTACAGAAACATTGTAAAGAAATGGACTCATTCACAGGGTTTGAGTAAACACAAGTAAGAAAACAAATGTAAAGATTAAGAAACAACAATTTGGAAATTAATTAAATGTAAGACATAATTGGAAAGATAATATGGTATAAAAATATATAAGAACATAGGAGCCTTTAACTAAAAATTTGACAAAAATAAGGAAAAATAAATTAAGCAGAAGTAGCAAATATTTAAAGAACCGGAACTGGAAGTCATAGAGTGGGGGGCGATATTTGGATTCTTTTATCATTATTTATATGATAAGTGTGTGGAATATTAAATTGTAAAACTAATAAAACTTTAATATATATATATATATTACTCCTTTGAGGCTTTTGGAATTTTTTTCTAGTGAATAAGCACAGCTGCCTAAACTGGGTGGTTGTTTTCATTTGTGGCCAATAGATGGCGGCAGCAGTTTATAATGGGGCACATAGAAGCCTATTAGGTCATTTAGACACTCCAAAGTTGTGGGGCAGGCTAATTGATCGTTGGCCACTGATGCGATTGGGGCTTCCCTTGTTGTTGGGAAGAAGTTAATGTTGCCATTTGTTGATTGACAGCCAGAAATGCTAAACCTCCTTGCACGAGGCTAGGGCTTCCTCTTTTCACCCGTGCATCGGATTGCCCTTCCCTCCCTCCCTAGAATTAGGGTTGTTCGCTTTGACCTTGCTATGCCTGTCATGGGGTCGTCTGCTCTTGGGGCAGGGGCCCGGTAGGAATTTTGTCCATCTGGCTGATTGGCTGGGGCCATTTGGTTTTTGCCCACTGTGTAGCAAATCGTCACAACTTGTAAGGTTGCGGTTAGGCACTGGTTTATGGTTTGGTTGGTTGAGGGGCATGGATTGGCTGTGCCTGCCCCTCTAATGCTGCTGCTGCAAGGGATTCCGTTAAAGGAATCGGGGGCTAACTATTGCTTGTCCACTCTGTCAAGGAGGCTTGGGCCATAGCAATGAGCTCCTGGTTGCATTTGGGGGGACTGAGGGCAGGTTCCCTGCTCTGTCACTACACCCAAGTGTATTCCCCTTTTCTGAGTTTCGCATCGTGCGGAATGTCAGTCTGTCCCCCATGGTGGGGGCAGATAGTCGCAACCAATACCTAAGCAACCACTCACATTTTTGTATTTTAATAAAGTTGTGGCCAAAATTATGCCAGAAACCTTAAACAAAAAATTATGTGTGGTGTGAGTTATTGGGGTGGCCCTGGGGACCTCGACAAGCAACCCCAGTTAAGCAAAACATGATGAATTTCAATTAAATAATAATAATAATCTTCACAGTGCAAAATGATTTTGAGATCTGCAAGAACACTGTTATTTGCAAATTTGTTGATTTCTTTTGTAGGTAGCATTAAAAAAAAAGAATGCCCAATTTTATCGTCTGAAAAGCATAAAAACATAATCCACTACAGTACGATGCACATACAGTTTTATGTGCATTTAACTTGTGCAATTTCAACTTTGCACGGTTGCAGGCTGCCTGGTCAAAATTGCTCAAATTAAACGCATGGAAGATTTCCCTGGCATTGAAAGAGCTTCCAGTATTTCCGCCTTGATCACTGAGCAAGGCCTTCTTGACGTGCTAGGAGCCTGGGATGGTCGAGTGAGATCTCACAGGAACACACACAGCTCTGCAAGATCTCACAAGAGGTGCGTCCTATAGAGCGAAAAATACAGTAAATGCTTTTAGTGTGTGAAGGTTGTGTTAACGGAAAAATCCGAGGGCTCCCTTGGACAAAAACAAAGACACCAACCAGGATTACTTGGAGCAAAACAGCAGCCTGTAGGCTTGGCCTTTATTGAACTCTTGCAACAGGGTGCTCCCCTCACTTGCAGGAGAGAGGAGGGACCCAGAAAAATGGTGTGCAAGGCCTTATAAAGACTTTTGAAACTGCCACCCTGTAGATCAAGACCACCCCCAGAAACATCATACATACATCACAGAAGGGGTGTAACCTAAGACCACCCCTCAGATACATCACACCTACATCACAGAAAAGGCGGTCTAAAACAGAAATTTGAATGTTGTTTTTCTCCTGTCTTGTTTATCTCCTATCTGGCAGGTTACTTGATTGGATTGCCTGGGGAGCCTGGCCAGTCTTTTGTAATGATAAATACTTAGTTCCTGGGCCATGTCACAGGCTCACACCCTATTCAAACACAGACATACCCTTAAGACAGGATTTGTTAAGGAAAAGACAATGGGGAGGCTTTTCCATTTTGACCTTGCAGAGAAAAGATTTGGTCAGTTTAGGAATCAAAATGGTTCCAGGTTGGCCTTCCTGTGCTGATCTATGTACGTGCTTGGTTGGTACGCTCATGAACATTACCATATATCTAAGACCATAAAGGGACGCGGGTGGCACTGTGGGTAAAAGCCTCAGTGCCTAGGGCTTGCCGATCGAAAGGTCGGCGGTTCGAATCCCCGCGGCAGGGTGCGCTCCCGTTGCTCGGTCCCAGCGCCTGCGAACCTAGCAGTTCGAAAGCACTCCGAGTGCAAGTAGATAAATAGGGACCGCTTACTAGTGGGAAGGTAAACGGCGTTTCCGTGTGCGGCTCTGGCTCGCCAGAGCAGCGATGTCACGCTGGCCACGTGACCCGGAAGTGTCTCCGGACAGCGCTGGCTCCCGGCCTCTTAGAGTGAGATGAGCGCACAACCCTAGAGTCTGTCAAGACTGGCCTGTACGGGCAGGGGTACCTTTACCTTTACCTTTAAGACCATAAAATTCCTATCACAGTAGCAATTGTGAGTCACAATAATAGGGGAAGGTACAAGCTGGCTTCAGTGAGGCAGAACTAACCACCTAGAATGTATTTGGAAAATATATGTGCAGAAGATGCCCTCCTGTTGCTGATGGCTAGTGTGCCCTGGTCCCCATGCAGAGCAGGAAGAAGGAAACAGATCCTGGGACATATTTTTCTTTACTTTCTTCCTGCTCCTGGTGGTCCAACCCTTACAGCTCTAAATGAGTGATGGGAAGCAGTCTCTCTTCAGGGTGAGGCATTTATCCTTGCAGGATGCAACTTAGTGGGTCATCGCAGCCCCTCAGATGCAGGCCATTCACAGCATTTGTATGAGAATCAAAGAACAGTAGAGTTGGAGGGGACACTGGGGGTCATCTAGTCCAACCCCCTGCATTGCAGGAATCTTTTGCCCAACGTGGGGCTCCTGCATTGAAGGGGGTTGGACTAGATGATCCTTGTGGTCCCTTCCAGCTCTACAATTCTTGGTTCCCTTCTATGCCCATATACTCGGAGACTAAAGGTTTAGTTGTACCTGGTTCTTTCCGGTCCGATTTTCCCCACGCGGTTCTGACCAGCGCTAGAGTGGACTCCCTTCTTTCACTCCCAAACACTTTTCAAAAGTTGTTCCACTAATTCTTTGAATTCTCTCTCCTTATTGGGATTTAATTTGGGAAGCTTTCTCACTCTGGGGACAGTCTTAGAGGCTGTGTGCTGATGAGCTGATCTCTCCCCCTGATGCCACGGCCCGTTTCCCAAATTGAGACAGCCTAAACTCTTCAGAGCTTGGGTTGCCCCAGCGGGGAGCTCGGTTTTTGTTTTGTTTTGTTTGTTGCATTTATAGAAAATTTTACTCATTGTTTTTAGAAGATGGCATGTCATCAAGCACAAGGAAAGAAAGATTAAACAGCAAATACCTGGGTTATAGATGGCAAAGAACAAGAACATTCAATCTAAAATTTCCCCTTTTCTATAGACTTTTTAATGTCTACAGTTCCACAGTTGCAGACGTGAAACAGTAATTGCCCTGAATAGAGATATTTCCCGATTTTTTTTAAAAAAAAACCAGTTACAAGATATTTGTACTGACACAGAACAAAAGTAATATATTTAAGCATTTAATGTGCCTTTTTTTCATCAAGGTAGGTGAGACATTGTGTGTATCTAAACAAGTGCTGTACAACTACTGCTTATATGGTTTACTTGAACCCACAGGGACACAGGTAAGAAATATTTTCATGAACAGAAGGATGGAGGATGTGCGCATTATAAGAAATCAAGTTTGTGTTCAACCAAAAGATGAGGATCCCCCATTCCTTCACTCTGTGCCGGGTCGTTCAGAATATCCTCAAAACCAATGCAGTCACAGTTGCCTTTCCAGATATCCAGGGACAAGTTAGAACTAGGAAGGAAAGGAAGATGCTGGAGCAGCTTCACTGCTTGGAATTCCATCTGCAGCTTCAGCGGTGCATGCAGCCCCGGAATATTTCTCAGAGTAGAAAAATTCCTCTTATATTGATTTAGCAACAACAACAAGAACAAAAGTATCCGGTGTGTCCAAAGGATGAACAGGGAAAAGTTCGCTCTTCACATTTGTAAAGCCTCTATTTGTAAAGCGTTCAAATGCTTCAGCAGCTGACAAACCAGAAACCGGAATACAGTCCTTCAGCTAAGATCCAAACGCTCTGGAATTCGTCAAGCTGTGGAATCCTCAAGCTGTGGTTTTTTTATAAAAAAAGAAGGGGAGAAAGGACAGTCGTCAAGGACAATGGGAGATGTAGTGAAGCAACCCCTGTAGGATGGCCCCCAGCCTTCTCCCCGCCCCATGCAAAGGCTCCCTTCCTCTTACCTGGTCTTTTAGGGGGAGGCTTGGGCAGCAGCCACAGCGGTGCACGATCGAGATCCTGCAAGAAAGAAGGGATCTTTGAAGCACTGCTTCTTGGGCTCGAATCCTGTTGGCTGCTTTCGCAGTGGCATCTGGGTGGCCCCTGGGAGAAGAGGAGGCTGGACCAGACGGGCCCTTGGCCTGATCCTGCAGGCCCTCCTTGTGTGTGTCCTAGGGCCCCCCTCCTCCCCCCCATCCCATTACCTCAGGGGCGAGAGGCCGTCGTCTGGGCTCCAGTCCCTCCCGGAGGAATGCGGCGGTTCCACGGCTGAACTTCTCCCTCGCTGCAAAACAAACGGAGACATCATCAGGCGCCTGTCTCCCAGCCACGCTAGTTCCCATCTGGGGCAGGAGGGTGGGGGATCTGGGAAGGGGGCATTTCCACTTACCTGATCTTATCAGGGCTCCCCACTTCTCCACCGTACGGGCGTCCGACTGGCCTAGCACAGAAGCAACAGCCAAAGTCTCCTCCCTCACCTGAGAAGCTGTTTTAATGGGAGGAAACTTTGGCTGCTGCTTCTGTGCCAAACCGGGCCGGGATGGAGCCATGCCCGTACGGAGGAGGGGCAGTGGGGACGCGCCGCGAGGGACGACAGCCGGGAACCGCCGGGATGTTCGGTTCTTCATTCCGGGAGCTGGCGCTGGAGCCTCATCCCTGGAGGCGTGGCCCTGTGGAGGAAGAGGGACATCACATGAGAATGGAAGCCATAGAGTGTTTCTAGGACTCCCCAAACATGTTCCACAAAGATCCCTTCATTCCCTCTGCCCTCTTACCTGATGTTCGCCACGCCTCTCCAGGGATTTGGCCAGAACAAAATACGTGTTGGGGAAAGGCTCCCACACTGCAAAGAAAAAAGAAACATGAGCAGGCGCCTGGCTCCCTGCCATGCTAGCCCCAGTCTGGGGCATGAGGATGGGGGACAAGGGAAGGAAGCATTCCTAGAATATGGGGCACTCAGTTGGCATTTCCACTTACCTGAGCTGGGAGCCTTTCCCCCTTTGCTCTGGCCGGCCTCTCGCCTAAGGAAGAAACAAGCTCAGTTAGTATGATTGGTTAGAGGAGTTCCAGACAAATATATAGGTAATAACAGGTATCTCTTTTATTCTAAGGTTCGTTATGGTAACTGAGACCACCAGCTGAGGTTGGCTAGAACCTCAGGAAGGACATTTCCATGGGATACAGAAATTAGAGAATAAGATGGGCTAAGAAGGCAAGGAGAGCCACTTCTTCCCCTGGTCCAGTTCCACACACCATGTCTGCTTCTGACTGAAGGAAGGAATGACTGGGGGAGGGGGATTCTGGGATTGATCTCCACCAGAGCCAGATTACCCAATGGACAGAGCAGGCACCAGCCTATGGGCCAGGCAACAATGGATCAGAATAAATACTGTTTGTTTTAGCTATTAATTATTGTTGGTTGGTAAAATAAAAAATGTATCAGGATATGGTTTGCGAGGAGCCCAGGGCTATTTTGACTGCCTAGGGGCCTCCACAGGTTTTAATCTGGAACTGTGCCCAATCAAGGGCCAACTTTGGGCTCCCATATGTCAAGGGCCTCCTGTACGCAGAGCCATAGCTGAGTGATCTTGCAGCCCTGGAGAACCGTCCAAATCGCACCCCCTAATGGTAAAGGTAAAGGGACCCCTGACCATTAGGTCCAGTCGTGACTGACTCTGGGGTTGCGGCGCTCATCTCGCTTTACTGGCCGAGGGAACCGGCGTACAGCTTCTGGGTCATGTGGCCAACATGCCTAAGCCGCTTCTGGCGAACCAGAGCAGCGCACGGAAACGCCGTTTACCTTCCCGCCATGCCCGTACGTATTTATCTACTTGCACTTTGACGTGCTTTCAGACTGCTAGGTTGGCAGGAGCTGGGACCGAACAAAGGGAGTTCACCCTGTCGCGGGGATTCGAACCGCCGACCTTCTGATCGGCAAGTCCTAGGCTCTGTGGTTTAACCCACAGCGCCACCCGTGTCCCTATCACGCCCCCTAGCCACGGACAAATGAGCTCTTCTTTCTGCCTCTCCTCCAACCCTCCACCCATTCAATTCACCCTCTATTAAAAACCTTTTCTTAAGAGGCAATAATCAATATTTTTATTTATAGACAAATTATGGACATATCTCTAGTCGATTTTGCGCTCACCTGCAGGGGCCCACCTCACCACCCCCTAACTACGGCCCTGCCTGTACAACCCTACAACTTGGCACCCCTCCCTCTTGTTCTTCCGCATTCCTTGGGCCCCCTCTGCCGTGTGGGGCCCAGTGTGAGCACACCGGCCGTGCCATCCTCAGACTGCCCCACCCCTGCCACAGAAGGGCACAGCATACCTGCAGATGTTGGTTTGGGACGTGGCACCGCTGGGCTGCTGCTTGGCCGGAGCCCTGACCGGCACTTCCAAACCACGGCCCTGCAAAGGAAGAAGGACATTTTAATCTCCTGCCACAGGCATCCACTCGAGGGGACAGGGGTCCCGGGGACCCTCCCCAAAGATTTTCTTCCCCCCCCAAAAAAATGTTTTATTAATTTTCCAAAAAATAATAATAAACAAACATAAATCTCAACCGTATTTAAACCAAACTTAGTAACATTGTTAAGTGACTTCCTCGTATTCCCCTGGTTGAATTTCCGTGTATATCATTTTAACAGTTTTCCAAAACCTATATTCTTAAAAAATTAACTTAATCACTTGACATCTTTCTTTCTTTACAATTCAGCATTAAACGTATCAATTCATCACATTATGTCTTTAAATACTAAGGCTATCTGGTATTTGCAAGCTTTCCCAATTATTTTCTTCCGGGGCACATTTTCTTCTGGGGCAGTTCGCCCTCCATATTGTCTCTCCCCCCAGCCACCTCAGGGGACGGCCAGCCAGCAGAGGGACATAGGGGGCAGGTGGGAGGGTGAAGGCCGCTCCCTGCAAGGCCCTTTCCACCTGGCCAGGGGGGCGAGGCCCAGACCCACCAGCCAGCCCTACTGAAGAGGCTCCTCCTGAGGCCGGAGGAACATCGCCCAGCTATGTTTTATTGATTTATTCTTTTTTTTAAAAAAAATAATATTTATTACTTTTCCAACAATTTAAACACTACAAAAAAAGAACAATACAATACAATACAATACAGAAACACTACATAACACTAACACATTAAAGTGACAAAACAAAACAAAAACAATTTAAAACACATCAATTTCAATATCTTATCTTTCATTCACTTATTTCAACGACCTCCTCACACCTCCCTTTTTGTATTCCACTTCTATTAATTGTTTCAGCAATTCCTTTCCATCTTCCTCTGTTTTTCTATCCCGTTTCATTGATTTACTATGCTGTAAACCGCTTTGAGGTTTTTATTAAAAATATAAAGCGGTATAGAAATATAAATAAATAAATAAATATGTGGGAAATGGATTCCCCATGGAATTAACATACCACGATTTCTAATGGTTCCCCACGGCGCCAGAGCAGCTGCTGTGCCCTTCCTGCCTGAGAAGCTGTGAGACAGAAAGGAAAATAAAAACAGAGGAAGTTACCAACCAGTAATTCACAACAGAAAATACCATCTGGGGTCCACAGCTGAGGACCTGCCAAGCTAGCAACATCTGTGGACAAGGCAAGCCAGGGAGCCAAGCCACATGCATCAGTGATGGGTGACGATAATAATAATAATAATAATAATAATAATAATAATAATAATAATAATAATAATGCCACTCATCTCCTCTGGGCCATCTACCATCAGCATTCATTTTTCTCTACAATTGTATAATCCTATGATTTAAAGTGCATCTAATGAACATTTAAAGCACATGATGTCCCCAAAATGATCCCGGGCATTGTAGCTTCCAGGCTCTCACCTTTGCGAAACTCAGCCATAGTGGTGGATACCAGCTGTAGAAAGATGCAGGGTCCTTTCAGGCTATTAAAGTAAGTCTGAATGTTGGGGGGGAGGCAGTTGAGAGTTGGTTGAGAGTGGTGGGTTCTAGAAGGGGGGGGGGAGGCAAGGGACGGCTTCCGATTGGCTGCCGGAGCTTCCTGCACTTAGAAGGAAACCATGTCGGACGTTCAGCTTCCAAAGAACGTTCCCAAGCTGGACACTCACTTATCATTATTTTATTGGTTGAATTTATATTGCACCCCCCAGAATGAAATGGGATGTGGGTCTATTCTGGGCAGTTTCCCGTAGATATGACACAGCTGAGGCACAACTGGGAATGTTGTGTGAATAAAAACCACTGACTTAAAAGTGCCAAAACTTTCCTGCTTCTTTACATGTGTGTCAGCAATGCAGGCAATAAAGGTAAAGGTACCCCTGCCCGTACGGGCCAGTCTTGACAGACTCTAGGGTTGTGCGCCCATCTCACTCAAGAGGCCGGGAGCCGGCGCTGTCCGGAGACACTTCCGGGTCACGTGGCCAGCGTGACATCGCTGCTCTGGCGAGCCAGAGCCACACACGGAAACGCCGTTTACCTTCCCGCTAGTAAGCGGTCCCTATTTATCTACTTGCACCCGGGAGTGCTTTTGAACTGCTAGGTTGGCAGGCGCTGGGACCGAGCAGCGGGAGCGCACCCCGCCGCGGGGATTCGAACCGCGACCTTTTGATCGGCAAGTCCTAGGCACTGAGGCTTTTACCCACAGCGCCACCCGCGTCCCTGGTAATGCAGGCAATAGTGGCTAATAATAATAATAATAATAATAATGCCACTCATCTTCTCTGAGCCTCCTACCTTCAGAATCCATTTCTCTCAAGTCTATCACCAACATCTGACAGGCATCCATCTTGCAGGGCACTATAAGGCTTGCTTGCAAAGCAGCACTTTGTGACATCAGCTGGCAAACAGGGGCCAGGCTGCTGGGTTGTCAGGCAAATGAATAAAGAAAAATAAAATTGGGGGGTCAAAGTGTGCTGGGATGAGGCCACCGTGGGTCAGGCCAGAGGGGGCTATTGGGGTGTGTGGTTGTGCCTCCTCTGGTTCTGCATCTTGCTGCCCCGTCCCTTCCTTTAGCTGCTTGATGGTAGAGTTGGAAGGGATGCCAAGGGTCATCTAGTCCAACCCCAGCAATGCCAGCATCCTGGCTGGGCTCCAAACTTCAATCATCTTCTTACCAGATTTAAGGTGCTGCTTTTGACCTTTAAAGTCCCTTCATGGCCTAGGACCCTCGTACCTACGGGACCGCCTCTCCTGGTATGCCCCACGGAGAGCCTCAAGGTCCATAAATAGCAACACCCTAGTGGTCCCGGGCCCTAAGGAAGTTAGATTAGCTTCAACCAGGGCCAGGGCCTTTTCAACACTGGCCCCGGCCTGGTGGAACGCTCTGCCTCATGAGACCAGGGCCCTGTGGGATCCGATTTCTTTCCGCAAGGCCTGTAAGACAGAGTTGTTCCGCCTGGCCTTTGGCTTGGAGCCAATTTGATTCCCTCCCTCCCTCTCTTTCTTTTTTCTTTTCCTTCTCCTCCTGCGATGAGGCTACATTTTAATATTTTAATGTTCCATTATTTTAATGTTGTATTTTATTTTTGTTTTTAAGTTGTAATCATTCTTCTTGTTTTTATTATTGCTTGTAAGCCGCTCTGAGCCCGGCCTTGGCTGGGGAGGGCGGGGTATAAATAAATTATTATTATTATTATTATTATTATTATTATTATTATTATTATTATTGCCAGCCAGATGTAGAGTCCCCTTGAGGGACGGTGGACCGGCCCATGGCTGAAAAAGGTTGCTGACCCCTGCTCTAGGGGCTGCTTCTGCAGTGAAGCATTTACTGTGGAACAGGCGAGCTTTTTCACTTTTAATTTAATAGCAATCTGCATGGCACCAGGAGCAAAACATCATGCTTCATTTTCTTGCTCAACCTCTGCTTTTGCTCAGAAAAAAAGAGCCTTTTTAAAAACACAACAGAACAGTTGTGTAAGAACCCATCATGCAGCTTGTTCAGCGCACTGTTGGGCTGGTTATTGTCTGCAGAAATTGCTCCAGACAAGCAGGGGTCAGCAGACTTTTTCAGCAGGGGGCCAGTCCACTGTCCCTCAGACCTTGTGGGGGGGCTGTACTGTATTTCAGGGGGAGGGAAATTTCTATGCCCCACAAATAACCCAGAGATGCAGTTTAAATAAAAGCACGCATTCTACTCATGTAAAAACACCAGGCAGGCCCCACAAATAACCCAGAGATGCATTTTAAATAAAAGGACACATTCTGCTCATGGAAAAACACGCTGATTCCCAGACCGTCCACGGGTCGGATTGAGAAGGCAATTGGGCCGCATCCGGCCCCCGGGCCTTAGGTTGCCTATCCCTGCTCCAGACCTTCCCTTCTTTATGGTCCATCTCACCTCTCTAGGAATCAGTCCCAGCACTTTAACACTTCACTTTCAAAACACCATTGCCTCTATATACATTTCTTTTCTTCCCTTGCCTAAAACACAGTTTGTGGTGAAGAAGGGAAATATGATCAGGAGCTTAGCAAAAGGTAGGTGTGCTTAACCCTTTCACACACACACTGTGGTTCAAATGAAAACCATCATTCAAACACACACACACACACACATACACTCAGGACTTCCCTCCTGGCTACAGAATGTTATTTGGGTTCCAGAAATCTGGAGGCAGCATTGCTATTCCACTTGCAGCTTAAATCAGCAATGACATGACTGGGTGCTGAATCTATGTGAAGCACCTCAGGATGCTCACGGCATGGTGTAGAACTTAAGGCTCAGTACTTTATCTTGCAATTTCCTTGGGGGTTTTTTTTGGAAAGGAAGCTCATGTAGATAAACTATCTTAGGGAGGGGAGCAGAATTTAACTTCCCTCCTCCCATTTTAAAGTATTCTCCAGTTTTTGCTCAGTTCGTCCTCCCTTTTGCCTCACCCCCGCTGCCACTGTCAGTATTCCTATTCTTATTTATTATTATTATTATTAGCTACAGACACTGCAGACTTGACTCTGGGGGCAGCCATCTTTTTTGTAGGCTTCCGTTGAGGAAGAGACAAATAAGGCCTGCAGGCTTTGCTTTTCCTATTGAAACAGTGGGGCAGCTTGCAACATATATAAAACCATAATTAAACATTAAAAAACTTTCCTATATGCAGGGCTGCCTTCAGATGGCTCAGGGGTCAGATAACTCCATAGCTTCAAACATTTCTCCAATGAAAATAGGGGCGTCCTATGGAAAAGTGGGTCGTTCCGGAATCAAATCAGAAACTGGGACAGCTTCTGCAAATCCAGGACCGACCCTGGAAAATGGGGAAACTCGGAGGGTCTGCATTTATTTAAGCTAACCTTCCCCATGGAAGTGAGCAAAACCTGTTTCTGAGAAAGCAGGCTGAGAATTGCACTGCTAGACTTAGACAGAAGGTTGTTTAACCTATCTGCCTTAACTTTAGATACAGGAGCAGCTGATGTTTTGGGTTCTTCGCTTTCCGAAACAGATGACGCAGCAGCTTTCAAAAGCAAAACTAAATATATAATCTTGTTTGTGTGGTGGGACTGTACACCAAACAAACAAACAAGCAGAGCAACCGATAACCTCACAGTAAGGTTTCTATATCCTGTTCTAATCTTGTCTTCATTTCAACTCTGCTTAGCGATATGCGCCTTTCACTCCATGACCTTTAGGTCTCTCTGCTGACAAACCTCCCCGCTTCCCAGTCTACCCACTTTGGTCCATTAAAGTTTATGCCATAATAAAGTGGCCTGTCTTAAAGGTGACCGGGAGGGTTTTGTTGTTTTTCCTTCAACAGACAAATATAGGGCCACCCCTCTGGAATTCCAAGGCGTTTGTTTCCACAAATCAGGACTGCGGTCACGATTTTGTAAACTGCAAAACGAAACCACATTCCACATTCGCTTGTGATCACTGTTGCTTTTGTTCGGATAATTGCGTATTTTAAAAGTGCCCAGTGTTTTGGGTGCAGGCAAGGCTGCGATTCATAGCAACACCAGGAGCAGATCATAGTATTTTGGTGAACGAGATGAATCTGCACACACACACACCATACATTTAAAACATACTACCCCTCCCAATAATCCTGTGAACCAGGGGTAGGCAACCTAAGGCCCGGGGGCCCGGATGCGGCCCAATCGCCTTCTAAATCCAGCCTGTAGACAGTCTGGGAATCAGCGTATTTTTACATGAGTATACAGTGGTACCTCGGGTTATATACGCTTCAGGTTACATACACTTCAGGTTACAGTCTCCAGTAACCCAGAAATTGTGCTTCTGGTTAAGAACTTGGCTTCAGGATGAGAACAGAAATTGTGCTCCGGTGGCGCGACAGCAGCAGGAGGCCCCATTAGCTAAAGTGGTGCTTCAGGTTAAGAACAGTTTCCGGTTAAGTACGGACCTCTGGAACGAATTAAGTACTTAACCCGAGGTACCACTGTAATGTGTCCTTTTATTTAAAATGCATCTCTGGGTTATTTGTGGGGCATAGGAATTCGTTCCTATTTTTCCCCCAAAAAATGTAGTCCGGCCCACCACATGGTCTGAAGGATGGTGGACCGGCCCACAGCTGAAAAAGGTTGCTGACCCCTGCTGTGAACCCTAATTTACCATTCATGGACCTACAATTCTAGCACCTTTATCAAACTACAGTTCTGATCATTATTTTTTTAGGGTGGGCGAGTGTCTGGGGTGTCCTGAATCTTGCAAACGGACATCTTTGTTTAAAACGTTGGCATGTCTGCTATTTTGACTAGATGTATTTAATGTATGAGGGACGCGGGTGGCGCTGTGGGTTAAACCACAGAGCCTAGGGCTTGCCGATCAGAAGGTCAGCGGTTCGAATCCCCACGACGGGGTGAGCTCACGTTGCTCGGTCCCTACTCCTGCCCACCTAGCAGTTCAAAAGCACATGAAGTGCAAGTAGATAAATAGGTACCACTCCGGAGGGAAGGTAAATGGCGTTTCCGTGCGCTGCTCTGGTTCGCCAGAAGCGGCTTAGTCATGCTGGCCACATGACCCAGAAGTAGTATGCCGGCTCCCTCGGCCAATAAAGCGAGATGAGCGCCGCAACCCCAGAGTCGTCCGCGACTGGACCTAATGGTCAGGGGTCCCTTTACCTTTACCTATTTAATGTATGTATTTTAGTGCATTAGCTTTCATAGAATCAAAGAATCTTAAGAGTTGGAAGGGACCCCAGAGTCATCTAGTTCAATCCCTTGCCATGCAGAAATCTCAGGTTAAAGCATCCATGACAGATGACCACCCAACCTCTGCTTACAAACCTCCAAGGAAGGAGAGTTCACAACTTCCGGAGTGAGACTGTTCCACTGTCAAACAGCTCTTCTTGTCAGAAAGTTTACCCCCCGAATGTTTAGTCGGCATCTCCTTTCTTGTAACGTGAATTGTAGAGCTGGGAGGAAGTTATACAACCCCCGAGCCAAGGAGATGAGTAACTATACAACCTTTGGAAGACATCTGAAGGCAGCCCTGTACAGGGAAGTTTTTAAATGTTTAATTATATTGGAAGCCACCCAGAGTGGATGGGGAAACCCAGTCAGATGGGCAGGGCATAAATTACTATTATTACAGTGGTACCTCGGGTTATTGGGACGCGGGTGGCGCTGTGGGTTAAAGCCTCAGTGCCCCGCTTCGAATCCCCGCGGCGGGGTGAGCTCCCGTTGCTCGGTCCCAGCGCCTGCCAACCTAGCAGTTCGAAAGCACCTCCGGGTGCAAGTAGATAAATAGGGACCGCTTACTAGCGGGAAGGTAAACGGCGTTCCGTGTGCTGCGCTGGCTCGCCAGATGCGGCTTTGTCACGCTGGCCATGTGACCCGGAAGTGTCTGCGGACAGCGCTGGCTCCCGGCCTCTTAAGTGAGATGGGCGCACAACCCTAGAGTCTGTCAAGACTGGCCCGTACGGGCAGGGGTACCTTTACCTTTTTACCTCGGGTTACATACACTTCAGGTTACATATGCTTCAGGTTACAGACGCTTCAGGTTACAGACTCCGCTAACCCAGAAACAGTGCTTCAGGTTAAGAACTTTGCTTCAGGATGAGAACAGAAATCGTGCTCCAGCAGCGCTTCAGCAGCAGGAGGCTGCATTAGCTAAGTGGTGCTTCAGGTTAAGAACAGTTTCAGGTTAAGTACGGACCTCCGGAACGAATTAAGTACTTAACCCGAGGTACTACTGTATTATGGAATAAGATGTCCCTAAAAGGGACGCGGGTGGTGCTGTGGGTTAAAACACAGAGCCTAGGACTTGTCGATCAGAAGGTCGGCGGTTCGAATCCCCGCGATGGGGTGAGCTCCCGTTGCTCGGTCCCTGCTCCTTCCAACCTAGCAGTTCAAAAGCTTGTCAAAGTGCAAGTAGATAAATAGGTACCGCTCCAGCGGGAAGGTAAACGGCATTTCTGCGCACTGCTCTGGTTTCGCCAGAAGCAGTTATGCTGGCCACATGACCCAGAAGCTGTACGCCGGCTCCCATGGCCAATAAAGCGAGTTGAGCGCCGCAATCCCAGAATCGGTCACGACTGGACCTAATGGTCAGGGATCCCTTTACCTTTAAGATGTCCCTATTTTCATCGGAGAAATGTTGAAGGGTATGTGATTTGTATAATTTGCATATTGCTATGCACAAGGCGGAAGGGACGCGGGTGGCGCTGTGGTCTAAACCACAGAGCTTAGGGTTTGCCGATCGGAAGGTCGGCGGTTCGAATCACTGCGACGGGGGGAGCTCCCGTTGCTCAGTCCCAGCTCCTGCCCACCTAGCAGTTTGAAAGACGTCAAAGTGCAAGTAGATAAATAGGTATTGCTGCAACAGGAAGGTAAATGGCGTTTCCGTGCGCTGCTCTGGTTTTGCCAGAAGTGGCTTAGTCATTCTGGCCACATGACCCGGAAAAAACTGTCTGCGGAGCGGACAAACGCCGGCTCCCTTGGCCTGTAAAGCGAGATGAGCGCCGCAACCCCAGAGTCGTTCACAACTGGACTTAAGTGTCAGGGGTCCTTTACCTTTGTGCACAAGGCAGTTTACAAGATGAAGAACCAACAAAATAAATAGAACACATCTTACAACAGTCTGTCCCAATACAAACAAGTCAATAATAAAAAATATGACTTAAAATAAACAACAATATTCAACAATTCATTAGAATATAACAATACACAATAAAATAAATTCTCAAAATACCGGCAAACAATAATTAAAGAGAAATCACCCTCAAACATTATTTTAAATAATTACTAAATTATTATCAGCAGAAACAACAGCCGCAAATTCCTGCATTGCAGGGGGTTGGATGATCCTCAGGGTCCCTTTCCAAATCTACATTTCTAGGATTCTATTGTTTGTAAGCCGCTTTGGCATTTATTTGAATGAAAAGCGGCACAGAAACTGAATCAATCAGTCAATCAATCAATCAATCCAGTGGTCAGGTCCCGGGGCAGTGGGGGGCAAAGAGAAGCCCGCTTGCCCTTGGGAAGATGGTTCTTCCGATCCTCTCGGCCCGGCGTCTCCTTTCCCCTCTCCTGGTTCCCATGGGGCTTAAGCCTGCGCGCCCAGCAGGGGCCGCCCTAAAGCCGAGCTAGGGCCGGCTGCAGCAGCAGCGGCGGCGAAAGGGGAGGCGAGAAGTCAGCGGACGAGTCCCGGGGAAGGGAGGAGGAGCAGGAGGAGAAGGAGGCGTTGCACTGCAGCACCAGCAGCTCCGGACCAGAGAGGAAGGAGAGGGGAGAGAGAGAGAGACGCGCGCTCCTCGAAGCAGCCGGAGGAAGTGCCGCCGGCTCCGGATCGCAGCAGCTCCTCTGCCCGCCAAGGCCGTCTCCAAGCGGGGCGCCAAAGCTCCCTACCCTCCCGGCGCCGCGGTCCCCCCGTGCGCAACAGGGCGCGCGTCATGGCGCACCGGGGTGGCCGGGCGCTCGCCGCCTTCCTCCTCGCTGTCACGGCGGCAGGTAAGCGCGGCGGGGGCTGGAAAGTCAGCAGCGCGTCCCGAGCCTTCCCTCTCTTTTTCAAAAAGCCAGGCTTGCCGTCCTTAACCCCGCTTTTCCTTAGGAGGGAGAGAGGCGCGCAGAAGGCGACGCGCTTTCTTGGGTAGGCAGGGGGAGCGTTGCGCTCTTGGGAGGCGTTGGTACCGGCTTGGAAGCGCACGAGGGGGGCGGCAGAGACCAGAAATACCAAACTGGGTGGAAGGAGCCGTCTGGAGGTCCCCGGGGGAAATGTAGATTTCTTTACGCGCGCCTTTCCTTCCCCCCAAAGAGCGCGAGGACCAGATTTCCAAGCGCAACGTTTTGGGCTCGATCGGGCTGCAGCCCCTAAGCACTTGCGCTTGAAAGTATGGGACGCTGAAACCAGGGGCGCTTACTTGCGAGTAAGGAGGGCCAGGGGATGCCAGTGAACAGGGCAATATTTAGAAGCCGATGGTTTGCATTTGAAGGGATGGTTTGGAGTGAATGTGGCCAGGCCCATCATCTCTCCAGGTTCCTCGAAGGAGGGTGCGCGCATGTTCTCGTGGACGGGGGTGGGGCACTTACTTATCGTCAAATATTTGGCGGAGAAAGAGGAGAGGTGGTGTGGAAAATCGAAACTTAAGCGTGGCTCTCTTGCTGGTGAGAGCAGGAATATGAAGCAAAGGGTACTGTACCGTGCCCAGAGTTTTACTCAGCAAATTGCAATGGACACTGGGGTTTATTTCGTCTCTGTTAGGTAGGTATGGCTAAGTTGGCTGCCCCCTTGTCATGGGATAGCAACTAAGAAGCAAAGGGTTAAAAAAAAGTCCCTAATTTTCCCTTCTGTGACCTGTCAAGAGTTGTATACCTGTGAAAAGTTGAGCTGGGGGGCGCAGTCATTAATAGCAGAGGGCTATTTCATAACTTTTGTAAAAGCCTACATCTAAAGTGACTGCGTCCAACATATATTTGCAAATGCACCTATTGTTTTGGCGTGTTAGTTGAAAAGCCAGGATTGGCTGCACATTGGGTGGCAAACTCTCACTTAGCTGCTGTTTATTCCATTTATACATGGATCAGTGCCACAGTTAGCTTCTTTCCTTGTGTTGCTACAAATATCCTATCCTTCTTAAACCCAGATCAGTTTTCAAAATATTCATTAGGCTATTTTAAATGCTATACTTAAACATAGCAACATACCAGATACCTATGCAAACTATATAACTGTAAATAAATCCCTTTTAGAATCATGACTTTTTAGAGTTTGGAGATCATTGCAGACGGTTGGACTAGACGACTACCATTCTATGAATCTGTAACTCCCTACTTAGTGTACTTCTGAGAAAACATGAGTAAATCCTAACATAAAATATTAGCATTGCACTGCATTATTTCCGTAATCGGTTAACAGTAGTAGTCACAACATCACCCAGAAATAGTAGGCAAACAACATTCAACTCTTCATCACGTAGGGCAGGCATAGTACAGCAGCACAAACAGAGCTGTGAAGACTGTATTCATGAGATAAAAAAATAAGTTTGTACCCACGTTGTCCCATTTCTCTTCAAGTTTCTTTGGTAATCCTTTTGTGTACACATGGGTTCACCATTCCCTTTGGCATCCTGTCTCCGCCACCACTTTTTTTTGTTTCGTAGAGATTCCATGCTGGGAAAGCTGAATTGTAACCTATAGGTAAAGGTAAAGGACCCCTGACAGTTAAGTCCGGTCGCGGATGACTCTGGGGTTGCGGCACTCATCTCGCTTTACAGGACGAGGGAGCTGGCGGTTGTCCTCAGTTTTTCTGGGTCATGCGCCCAGCATGTCTAAGCCACTTCTGGCGAAACCAGAACAGCGCACAGAAATGCCGTTTACCTTCCCGCCTATACCTTCCCTATTTATCTACTTGCACTTTGACGTGCTTTCGAACTGCTAGGTTGGTAGGAGCTAGGACTGAGCAACGGGAGCTCACCCCGTTGCGGGGATTCGAACCGCCAACCTTCCAATTGGCAAGCCCTAGGCTCAGTGGTTTAGACCACAGCACCACCCGCATCCCACTGCCACCTGCACCCCATAACCTATAGATTATGCCTATTGGATGAATTGGCCTAAATCTGTTCCTGCTTCCTCTCGCCATTTCTTCTTCTTTTTCATAATTTTTTTGGCTCATGCAAAGCTTGATGAAGGATGAAAAACTAAAACCCCAAACACTGGAGTGCCTCCCCCAAATACCAGGAAAACTTTTTCAGCAACTCCTTGGACTTCTGAGATTTCAGCAGGTGTTGCCTGCATACTTTCAAGCAGACTGCTCCATAAGGGTTAGAGATTTGCTATAAAAGGTGGGGTGAAGACTGCAGTCCTATACACACTTACCTGAGGATACATTACACTGAACTCAGTGGAACTAGCTTTTGAGTCAACAAAGCTGACTTCAAGCTCTCAGTACCATATTATTGGGCTTTTATGTGCTTCTTTGAAGCATGCAAGTTTAGAGGGAAGCAGGCTGGCTGCCACAGGCTGGGTTCTTCAAGTCAGAGGAAAACTCAAGAGAGAGCAAAATTTATTTGGTCTGAAGTACAGTGGTACAGTCAGGACGTGGGTGGCGCTGTGGGTAAAACCTGAGCGCCTAGGACTTGCCGATCGCATGGTCGGCGGTTCCAATCCCCGCGGCGGGGTGCGCTCCCATTGCTCGGTCCCAGCGCCTGCCAACCTAGCAGTTTGAAAGCACCCCCGGGTGCAAGTAGATAAATAGGGACCGCTTACTAGCGGGAAGGTAAACGGCGTTTCCGTGTGCTGCGCTGGCTCGCCAGAGCAGCTTCGTCACGCTGGCCACGTGACCCGGAAGTGTCTGCGGACAGCGCTGGCTCCTGGCCTATAGAGTGAGATGAGCGCACAACCCTAGAGTCTCAAGACTGGCCCGTACGGGCAGGGGTACCTTTACCTTTACAGTGGTACCTTGGTTATCAAACCTAATGCATTCCAGGGGTCCGTTCGACTCCCGGAACCATTTGAAAACCAAGGTGTGACTTCTGATTGGCTGCAGAAGCTTCCTGCACTCAGTTGGATGTTGGTTTCCGAAAAACGTTCGCAAACTGGAACACTCACTTCCGGGTTTGCGGCTTTCGGGAGCTGATTTGTTCTGGAGCCAAGCCGTTTGACAACCAAGGTACCACGGTATTGGAGTGGTTCGGGCCAGCCAGCCCCAGAATTGGAGTTTCTCCCAAGCAGTACTAAAAGAATGGTTCACTTTGTATTGGAAGTTTCGCGCAGTTTATCAGGTCAGTTGCCGTCACCAAAGCAATTTGCCTTCAGGGTCCAAAAATAGTAAAATTCCATTGCTCACCGAAGGTGACTGTCACAGTGCAAAGTACGCAACCATGAGATGTTTTTTCTCCTTAAGAAACAGGGGATAGATGTATTGGCCTACCTACAACATCCAGTAAATAATTGAAAGCAGCCAGTGTTACAGCAGAAGGTCAAAATGTTCAACATACGATTCGGAGAATTACCTTTACAGAGTAACTCAGTACAGGATTTTGTTCTTGAAGGGAGCTTGGGAGAGAATGACGCCTTGGTCGCTGGTTGGCAGAACTGCCACAGCGTCAGAGAGAGGCAAGGCTGGGATCTTTAACAGATGTGTAAAAGAAGGAATTTTGGCAACTCCTGTAGCCAAGCTGGTGCCAAATGTCTTGCTCTGCTTTCCTTGGAACCACATCAGTAAGAACGAGAGGGGGTGGGTCTTGTCATCTGGGCAGCCCAGGACCTCCAGACACACTGACCAGACCAGCACCCCAGGGAGGTCACTTCAGTGATTCTAATGCAGCAGTTTGGCTTCACCCTCGGAGGCACACTCCATTGTCTCCTGAGATGCCAGCAAGTGGATTTATAATGGACCATCCCCACAATAGGGCGCGGGTGGCGCTGTGGGTTAAACCACAGAGCCTAGGACTTGCCGATCAGAAGGTCGGTGGATCGAATCCCCGCAACGGGGTGCTCTCCCGTTGCTCGGTCCCTGCTCCTGCCAACCTAGCAGTTTGAAAGCACGTCAAAGTGCAAGTAGATAAATAGGTACCGCTCCAGCGGGAAGGTAAACGGCATTTCCGTGTACAGCTCTGGCTCGCCAGAAGCCGCTTAGTCATGCTGGCCACATGACCCGGAAGCTCCCTCGGCCAATAAAGTGAGCTGAGCGCCGCAACCCCAGAGTCGGCCACGACTGGACCTAATGGTCAGGGGTCCCTTTACCTTTTATCCCCACAATATTCCACTTCATTGGTTTTCCTGCTACGTTCCCCCAGGTTAACCATGTTCCTGCTGTCAAGAGGGCCGTACTTGCACTGTACAGTCTTCCTCACACTCTACAATTTAGCTAAACACAGTCGCAAGCAGCTCACTCAAAACAAGTCGCTGAACTTGTTTGGGGCTGCAAGCTGTCTCCAAGGCAGCACCATCAAAGCTGTGCTTTTCGTTTTCCCAGTGCCCGCTTTCTGGATCTTTTCGACAGCGGTGGCAGGCGGCGTCTCCTAATTCTAATGCTTGTTGTTGCATGGTTTTGTGGTTGCCTGGAAACAGAAAGGCTTTTCTGCTTGTTGACATAATTTGCAATAATTTGCCCTTTCCTTTGTTCCTGCAGTATTTATTGTTGTATAAAACAACCTGGGGACCCAGGACTTTTAAGTGAGTCTTGGGACAAGCCCAGCTTGATGAAAGGTATCCAGCAGCTTCCACCGTCACAAAGTATTTTGCAAGCTCGCTTGAACCTCGTGCTTTGCTTCAGAGCACAGTTCCTGACAGCACAAGCCCATATGGCACTTTGTCAAATCTTCCTCTCAGATAATCAGCTGCTGTGAGTGGATCACTCTGTCCTTATAAAGTCATACTTCGGGTTACAGACACTTCGGGTTGCACATTTTCGAGTTGCGCAACGCGCTGAACCAGGAAGTATCGGAACAGGTTACTTCCGGGTTTCTGCGCATGCGCAGAAGCACTAACTCGTGCTTTGCGCATGCGGA